ATTAGGTTCAGTGCATCGAAGCGCGACACCTCATCGACAACTGCTCAAGCGAACATTATGCCTCACTATTTGAGTGCCGTACTGACGCAAGAGTACAGTCACTCTCTACTACTGCTGCTGCTGCTACCTCGATGAACCTGTCATCTTCTTTACCGGAGCTGTGTGACAGGTCCATAGGCAAGGTTAATCGACAGTTCATGGCGAGTTCAAGGTGACACCATATGGAGCATGACAACAGCACCTTAAGCAGTACCCTTTGTGCCTAACTGCTTCAACCAAATAAAAAAGCACGACGCACTTACCTGGAAGGTTCTTTTCAGGCTCCAAGTAGATTAGTTTAGATTTGCAGTTCGGAGCGACGAGGACTTCTGTGTGATGCAGTTTGGCAAAATGTGTGACTTGTGTAGTATCCAATCAGTTGAATGAAATTGACGGTAGAAAAAAGGAAGAGAACAGTTGAAGAGGTGAGTATAGACAACTAAATGACGATGCACTTGGTCAGATGAAAGTGCAGTAGTGAGCCAAAGTGCGGGTCGTTGAATCACCTGATGACATTCACGTTTTGAAGTTCTCAATGTCTGCTTCCAAATAAGAAATGCAAGAAGATCAGTTTGCAGAGGAGTTCACAGCTGTACTGCTCATTTGCACTGTTGATCTGGCAGAGATGAGATGTTTCCGCCAGTCTGCTGCGTCAGTACACCGAGTTCAGCGCAGTGCATTTTGCAGAAGTGGCCACAGAAATGGACGATGGTATGTCTGCTGCTGGTGCTGATGCTGCTTCGGTGCTGTGGTGCAAGAAAGTGAGCGAGGTAAGTGAGCTCCACTGACAGTCTGCCTGTGTGTGTGTGTGCTGCTGTCGGTACGACTGGCTTGATCTGGCCGGAGGACAAGTGCCTCCTCTCTTCTGCTCACCTGCTCAGAGGGGTCGAGGGCTTGTCTTCTTGTTCGACCTGTCCGCGGCGGCTGCGGCGGTTGCTGTTGTTGCCAGCACTGCTGCGAAGGCGATAATAAGCAGCGATGGCCAGGCAGGCTGCCACTAGCAACAATGGGCTGCAATGCACTGCCCGCTGATCGAATCTAGTTTGGCTGCCTCTGCCCTTCGCATGGACACTGACGGCACTGGCGGCGGCACTTGCCAATTACAGGTGAGTTCACTGCTGCTGCTGCTGCTGCTGATTTCTAAAGACTTTGGGACCAGCGCACGGTGGCAGCAGCAGCTAGCGATCATTGGGGGAAGAAGTGGTGGCAAGTGAAGTTCAACCCAAGTGAACATTGGTTGAAAGAGTGGTTGCAACGGCACTGATTAGAGTCACTGTTAAGTCTTCTCGTTTCCTGGCGATCGTCACTGTTAGCGTTCTGGGTGGTTGATGAAGTGTTTTCAGTAAGATGGTCACCTGGCTACACTTGTGGCTCAATCTTTTCTACTGGCAAATATCCCAAACAATTACAAGTGATTTGCAGCACTGAGGTACAGGCAGAGCTCATTGCATTCACAAACAATCAATCTCGAATAGACTGCGATTTATTGGCAACGAAAATCAGATGAATGAAAAAGCTCGGAGAAAGGCACAAAGAAAGAATATAAATGAATGAAGTGAAATGTATAGGACTGCCACAGGATGACAGCAATGACAACTGTGCTGCACACTGAAAGCCAAAGTCTGACTGGGAATTTGGAGAAACAAAGATGGTCGGTGTCGATTGGCCGGTGATCAGTGCAACAACACTGACGACGACAACTGCGACGGCCTGGTCGATAGCTGCGGATAGCAAACGATTGGCCAGTCAATGAGAGAATGAGAGAGAGAGCCTAACTCAAGTGACAGAAGTCGGCTGGTGGAAAATACGTCAACAGTGCTCCTTGCGACCACCACAAACACCGATGGGCAGTGATAGTGCAAGTAATGGTTGGAATCAGATGGCAGATTTCCTCTGCATGCCCAGTTCTTCTTACAGTTCTTCTCGGTGGCCGCCACTGAACATACACAAAACAGTACACAAACAACACGCGGAACACTGCTGAGAATGAAGCGGCTGCGGCGTTAGACGGTGCTGTCGGTGGTGGTGGTGGTGTTGTCGGTACGCCAGTGCTGGACTGGCGCCGTGTGTGCAAAGTGGTGGACTGGACTGGCGTCGGAGGAGGACAGCCAAACGGCGACTGTTTGCACGTTCGCCTCTACACACTCCAGAGCACCAGCAGAAGAGAGTCCTGAACGGCTGCATTCGTCTGCCGCTCTCCTCGGACAACATCCTCTGGCTCTATCATTCTCTATATCTGCCTCCGTCGGTGTGCCCATTTCCTCCTCACGTTCCAGCAGACGGGAGAGAGTCAATGCTCATCCTGGTACTACCACTTCCATTGCATCGGCAATGGGCAACTGCCTTGCACATGTCTGTGCCCACTTGCCACTCTCTCTTTCTCTTTCTCTCGCCAGCCACTGGATCGCCACTGCAAAAGGTAGCTGCAGAAACGACCCATCCGAATGGCCAGAAGAGGTTACAAAAGGCATAAATAAAAATTACCGCAATTAATAAAGTCTAATTGAACTTTGACACAAGCGGAAGAGATGTTTAGCAGAGTAATAAATAAAGCATTCACATTGGTCGGTCGCGCCAGATTTTTTTTCAAACAAATATGGCACGTTCTCTATGAGCGATTGTCAGCTTTGTTTTGAATTTTTTCAAATGTTTTTATTTTTTCTGATATATATTTTGGATGATTCAAGCGAATAATCTACAAGACTTTCGTTTTTTATCTAAGATTTGTTAGTAAATAAATGAGTTTTTAGCAGTATGTGATATTTGAAACAAATATGAATTCTTGTTGGAGGTTTCAGCACTTCAAGTTACTTGAAAGAAATTTCAAGTTCTTCAGAAATAGAATTGCTATGATGAATTTGTAAGTAATATGTGAATCAAATGCTTTATTAGAATGTTGCTAAATCACTAACAATGAAAGAACAAATGAAATGTTAGGAATATTTCTTTATTTTTGTCCTTTGATGCCTGGAGCAACTGGTGCACTTAGTTTGAAGATCGAGATGTCTTTTGCTGATAATTTATTCGGTTATGATTTTTTCTTTGTGTAGTATTTTCATAAAACTAGGCTCATTTAAAAGAATGTGCTTGTTCGGTTAGTAAAATCTAGATTTTTTAAGTTTTGACTAACAGTTATTTTTCAAAAATTAAATTGTGTTATATTTGAAGAATAAAGTTAGGTAATAATCATTACTGACAATCGAAAATGTTTGTTCAAAACAAACCCATATTTTTATCATAAAGCTGTTCTTTTGAGGTGTCAGGCCATCAAATCGCAACTTTTTGTTTGAATCTGATGTAAGCTCACTTTTTGATTATCAACTCTAGCAACTTGAGCCAAATGTCTGCTTTGCTTCAAAATTATCAAGAGATTTCCCATTTCTTTTGCTGCTGATGCAATCATCCGTTATCAGGAACAAACATTAGCTGAAGAAGATAACAAAAATGTGGCGGTTAACAATGATAGACTGATTTGCAATATGGTCATCTGTCGGTTACTTTGAATGTCTCTAGAATTCAAAGAATTTAAAAACGTTTTACTGTTTTCTTGACCAACTCTAGAAGACCGGTTTGAGCATCTGCTACTGATATGCGTTTTGCTTTTCGCCTTGAAAACGATATCGGCGATTTTCCTTTACACGTTATCTATATCTTGGAAAGACTGTCAACATCGTACGGTAGCTCTCTAAAACCAGTTACTTTCTTCAGTGATCATCTGACGACTGTGGCACTCTCCTCCTCCTCTCGGTGCCATCCCTCTGATGATTCGATTTACTCTCGATTGACCTACCCACAAACTTGATCCGCTAACCAGCATCTTCTTTCTTATTTAGTCTGGAAACTTCACTCTTCGCTGCTTCTTCATCAGTTCAGCGTCTTCCAAGTCAGTTCACATTTTCACGGAGTTTTCATACAAACTTGAAAATGCCTCAAGCTATACTGATCAGCGGCAAGGAAGTGTCCGATGAAATTCGCAACCGAGTGAAGGAAACGGTGGCTCATTTATCGATTGTCCCAAAGTTGGCGATCGTTCAGGTCGGTGCTAGGGAAGACTCAAATGTGTACATTCGCATGAAGAAAAACTTCGCCGAATCTGTCGGCGCAAGTTCAGTGCATATTCAGCTTCCAAATACGATCACTCAAGCCGAGGTATGCAGTGTTTACACTTTTTCTTATCACTTTTAATCTAAATTCGGTTTCTGTTCAACAGCTAGAGAAACATGTGCAAAAGCTAAATGACGATGACAACGTCCATGGCATTATCGTGCAACTTCCATTTGACTCCATCGAGAAGATAGACCAGCACCATATTGTCAATATGATTTCTCCGCTAAAAGACGTCGACGGCCTGACGGTGATCAACTCTGGCAATCTGCTGCATGGTAAACTGGGCGGCAGTCACTCCTACCAGCCCTGCACGCCTGCAGGATGCATTGAACTGATCAAGAAGACGGGCACTCCGATTGCTGGCGCCAGGGCGGTGGTGCTCGGTCGCTCTCAGATTGTCGGCTCACCAATGGCGCAGCTGTTGATTTGGAACCACGCCACCGTGACTGTGTGCCACTCAAAGACGAAGAACTTGCCTGAGGTATGTCGCGAGGCTGACATTCTCGTGGTGGCCATCGGACAGCCATTATTTGTCAAGAAGGACTGGGTCAAGCCAGGCGCAGTGGTCATCGATTGCGGAATTAGCGCCATTCCTGATGCGACCAAAAAGTCCGGCCAACGACTTGTGGGTGATGTGGACTTTGATGCCGTCAAAGAGGTGGCCGGTTTCATAACTCCAGGTAAGATTACTTTAATTTTATAACATCAAAGCACAGTATTGCTTACACTGTTTATATTTCATCAACATAGTTCCTGGTGGCGTTGGCCCGATGACTGTGGCAATGTTGATTAGCAACACAGTGGACTCTGCAAAACGAGTCTCCGAAGCTAGAAAACAGTAAATCTCCAAGTTGTTATTTCTATATTTGTATAAATGTGTACAATAAAGGTTGAATTTAATGATACATTTTGTTGAGTATTTATCACAGGCGTATTGAGCAAACATAAAAGTGATCATCATTTTAAATTCCGTCTAATTTCAGACAATTTGTCGCCCACTAGAGACGAAACGTTTGGTGATGAATTAGTGGAAGTACTTTTATATAAATCATCGTCTTCTGATGTTCGATTAAATCTAGGGTTGAATCGGTTTGAGCGGTTGTCTCTGTATGCCTGACCTGAAGAAGAGCTTCCTGCATTGTAAATACTAGGTGGAGCAAACTCGTCGACTCTTTCTTCTCTTCGTTTCTCGATAAACTGTTCATGAGAAAAAAGCATAGATTTTGAAGAAGTTGCTCTATCTTCGGTGGTTCGGGAGGCAAAAAGTCCCTCTTTTCCCAGATCCCAGTCTCGAACGCGACCCACTTTCACCGGATCACTGTCCACCTTCAGCTTGGCCTTTTCAATGTAGGTGGCTTTCTCCGCTGGCTCGTTATCACTCTCCTCTGAAGATTCATCAGGCAAGGCGATACCTTTCCGTGCGGCCACTTTCGCTAGCCGTGCTTTCAGCATTTGCTTTCGTTTCTCCTTAATCCGCTGCTTTTCACTTTGTTTGTTTTCCGTTTCTTCTCTCATTTGCTTCAGCATCTCCAGCTGCTCGGCCCGAGCTTGCTCGTCAACGGAAAAATTGAAGAAAGCCACACCATGATCACGAATTTCTCCCTCCCGAATGTCCTCGTAGTGAACTTTGCGTTTGGCCAAGCTGGGTTCTTCCATCTCCTGATAAGTTTCCTCTTCCCATTCTCTTCGCTCAATTTCTCTCTTCATGTCATCACTTAGCAAATCGCTGTTCCGTGACCAGCTCGAGCTAGGTTGATACAAATCTGGTTCTTTCTCGCCTTTTTTCTCAATTTTTTCGGGCAGATCTTTTCTTTTCACGTACCTTGTTCGGCCAAACTCATCCTGATATTCGACTAGCTCTTCATCATTTTTAGTCTTTTCAGAGTGGCGGGATGTTGATGCTTTCTTATTGTAATGTAGTGAGGACTTTTGATCAAAGTTAACAAGCAGCTCTTCGTTATCGGCATCAGGAATAACTGACCCTAATGCCATTTGCTCATAAAGTTTGGCTTTTTTCTCCAGCATTGTTCGGGATTTAGCAAAAGCCATTTCTTCTTCAAGCTTAACTGCTTCATCAAGTTTTGACAACGACTTTGCACTTTTGTCATTTTTAGCAGGCTTACTTTCATCATCGCCGAGTATCTTTTTGGTAAGACGAGATATTTTATGAGCATTTTTATCATAAAGATGATCATCGTTTATTTCGTCGAGAAATTTTTCCTCATTTGTGGCGAGTTTTTCAGAGCCGTTTAGGTTTCGCTTTAGTCGGACTTCTTCCTGCTTTCGAAAAAGTTCCGCTTTCAAGTCGACGATTGATGATGAGTTGATTTCAATCTTCTGGCTCTTTTTAGTCGTCATTTTTGCCGAAAAGAATCTGACGAAATCATCAAAGATTTGACGATTGTTTACATCTCATTTAATGTTGATGCTCAAAGCGACATCTGTTAGACTCTTGAACAACTCGATGTCAAAATTTTATCGAGTTTGATTAATTTAAAAGTTTTAATCTTATCAAAATTTTAAATAAAACTATAAATTGTATAATAAAAGACAGAGATTCAAACAATAGACTTTGTATTTGATATAAAAGTGCTGCTTGAAGCGCAAAAGTGAACTTGTGCAAAGTCGTAGTAAGCCTGAAAGTGGAAGATCATATTGCTGACGACAAAGACGTATTCTGCGGCAGCAAAGAGAGAATACATTCCAATTTCGCAGTGCTGATTATGGCGAACGTAGAAAAACAAAGCCATCGTCCAAGCAATCGTATTGATGCAAAACACTCGAACCTTAAACAATGACCAGAGATTCTCTTGGAAGAGGTGAACCATGTGCCCAAAAAATGATGAAGAAATAAATAAAAGGAAGCAGTAGGCGTGAATCACTAGAGGAAGAAGACACGATTATTGTAAAGTGTGGCTCATTTTTGCTCCCCTATGTTTACTTACCAAAATTTTCAGTCGATGAAATGATACTTAGGCCCAGGAGAGAGCTGACCTCGACGCAGTTCAGTGTTAGTAAGCATGTGGATGAGTGGAAGAGCTTGTAGTATGTCATCGAGACGAGGTACCTAGGCGCAGAGTGCAGTGCTATTGTCAACCTCCAAATGTACTTCTGCGGTGAGTAGGCACCGATTGAGGCGCTAACCGATGGAAGGTAGTTTGGGACATTGCAGTGAGTGGAGGTGGAATCATCAAAGTTGTACAGCATCGACCAGAGGACGCAAAAGGCGAAGCCGCCCAGCGGAAGTGCCAGTGTGACTAGGGCCAGCTTCTGAAAGGGCACGATTCGTTGTAGATCGCTTTTGACTTCATTGCCGGCCAGATGCTGGTACCGCTGTTGGGGACCGTAGAAGAGCCGTATTAAAAAGTTTTCAAACCTTGCTTTCGCCTTCATCTCTACGCAAAGCAGCTCATGCCCGCTGCCGCTGTACAACTGTCCTCTAGTTAATTGATAGGTTGCATGATTGTGGTCGAAAGAACTGTAAAATAAGGAATAGGATTTTACAAAAATAATTCAAAACATGGTAAACAAGAAAAACAAAGTCCAAAAAAAAGTTGGATACGTACTCGGTGAAAGGGCCAGTTTGGCTGCCAGCAAACACATGTGTTTGCTTCTGTTGCTAGGTCAAGTAACGCCGTACCGACGCAAAGTCCGAGTCCTGGTCACCTCGTTTCTAATCATCTCTTGAAACAACTCAGCAATTGCCCAGCTGTAAACCATGTCTGAAATGACCACTAGCACCGACGAGAGTAAAATTGACATTATTGATCTCGACGTAAGTGTCAAATGTGTCTGCTTTATGTTGTTTATCAAATACTAACCACAAGTACTTTTTCTTTATGACAGGATGAACTAAGCGACACAGAAAAGGCGGAAATTGAAGTTGAAGAGCTTGAGCCCATTAAGGATGAAGATTTGCTAATCTTACAGGAAAATGGCGACGGTGTATGTAAACTTTAGCGACAGTACTGTTGTACCAAATTGATTAATTTTTCATCTCATTTTTCCCGTAGAACAAAAGCGATACTTCTTTCAAGGATAACGAGTCAAAGATAGTCATTGTTCAAGCGAACACTGTCATCTCTAAAAAAGAATACGAAGATGTGGACGATATTGACGAGGATGAGGTAAGTTTACAATATGAGTACAATCAAAGAGAATTGAGCGGATTAACTTGCATTTTGTTGTCAGTGAGAGTAATCAAAACTTTTTGCTTTTCAGGAAGATCTTTTCGAAGATGAGACCTTAGCTGAACGCTTGTGGGGTCTAACAGAGATGTTTCCTGAAACTGTGCGTAACGTTACCTGGTCTGTTGGTACTTCTTCAGTGAGCTGTGTTAAGGGACTGTACTCATTTAGTCGCTCTGCTATGTGGATCATTGCCACAAGTGCCATCATTCTTGCTGCTCCGGCTTTGATTGAAAATGAAAAGTCTCAGCTGGAAGAGCTTAACCGCCAACAACAGCGTCAGGTATTTGTGTCATCAATCGTCTAATTGGTTTTTATTCATTTACTCTTCCCCATTTCAGATTCTTCTGGGCCCAGGAGCCGGCGGTGCTCCCGGTTTGTCGCCAACCTTGACTCCGCCTACACGATAGGCCTACACGAAAACCGCTTCCATTTTTAATTAAGGTACAACTCTAGTAGCCTCTAAGTGTATGCAATTTCCTACTATCGAATTATTATTTTTTAAATTATCCTTTTGTATAGCTAGAATAAATGTCGTGTCATTTTTGTAATATAAAAGTTTACTGATTCAGAGAGATTATGAGTCTACTTTTTGACAAAGGCTTTTGACCAGAATTGCACCATTTGCAAGTCGTTGTCGGACATTTTTAGAACCCGTTTGACAGTGGCCACCTCAGCCAAGTTGAGACGAGGTACATTTTTAATGAACATCTTTGACTTGCTCATCCACTCAAACTTCATCTCGTCGATGCGCTTGCCCAATGTAATATCAGACATGATGACCACCTGCAGAAGCTCTTCGACTCTTCTGACGTACGTTGGCACCTTCACGGCGGCAATCTCATCACAGCAGTGCAGCTTCAGTGTGTACTTTTCAGTGTTTGTTGTGTCGACAATCTCGATGCACAGGTAAAAGTCAGCCATCAGCTTAGTGACATCGTCTGAAGGAAATTTGGCACAGACTCCGAGGAGGTTACTGTCGTTTGGACTGAGTGAAGAGGTGCTCCTAGCATCAAACTGTGCTTCAGTCTGCACTTCAATGCGCTCCTGGGGAAGCAGCTTAGCGAGCATCTCAACCACCTCTTGTGTTCGAGATTTCTGGTTGCCGTCAAAGACGATGATTCTACTGCCTACCACCACATTTGCGGCGAGGATCAGAAAGTTGGCTTTGCCAGTTAGCGAGTAGAGCTGGCGCAGTTTGGAGTAGTCATTGCAGAAGAAGTTGCTTATCAAACGAACTTGACTGAGGTCGATGAGATCATTTGAATGGAAGCTTTCAGTTTCTTTATCACGGCGGAGAACCTCTCCGAGAATGGCAGCAAACTGTAAATGTAGGGTGTAGAAAATGTTGCAATCACCGGTGATTTCTCCCAGCGATCGGGCTTTGATTTTATTCTTTGAGGTGCTCAGTGTGTCTCGATCAAAAAGCTCCTCAAAGTAGTTTAGATTCTTTCCAGCGTTGACAACGTTGTCGAGAATGATAGATCTTTTATTGCGCGTCGATACTGGCGTCATCTCAGACCTGTAGACGGTTTTTGCCCTTTTCTGAAGATTTGCAATTATCATTGTGATGTTCTTGATGAGGAAGTTGAAGTTGGCAAACGGCCTCTTTGACTTGTCGTACATGACAAAGATGCTGTATTTTCTCTGGAACCCTCGTGACTTGCTGTCCTGCAATGAAAAGAGAAAACTGATGACATGTTCGCTTTCAGTACTGAAGTAGACGCCGCCATGATTCTTCGGATGCACTTCAGAGCTCATTGATCGGAGACAAGTGACGCGAAGAGTATTTGTGTCAAGAATTCGTCCAGAAAACGGAGAACGGCTGGAAAAGTCCTCACTTATGAAGCACTTGTTTTGGGCCTCATTAAAGGTGATAATGTCGTTCTTTTCCGTATTGGCGTGCAGTGAACAGCCCTCACAAGGTACTGTTGGTGCGGATTGTTTGCCGTCCTCGTTAAATAAAAACAAATCATCGAGTGGACCATCTTCGGCCAGCGAGTCAGCAGCCAAGTTGAAGCAGATCAATCGTTTTCTCAGTTCGGGATTTTGAAGTCGGTCACCGTCAATGCAGCGCGAATGTAGAACCACTGAGGGACCGTGGATTTCGCAGAAGTGACCCAGTGACAAAAGCACGCCAAAGGTCATTCTTCTGGCAGAAGACTCAAGACAACAACCGTCGCGTCAAAGAATTTGAACGAGTGTCCACCCCAAACAACATAAGAGTGTCTTCACTCTCACTCTGTCAGTGTACTGCCGCCTCAAACAAATCTTTTTTCACAATTCTCACTCGAGTACAAATAGTAATACAATTGAATGGCTAAAATGGCGTCATTTTTTAGCATTTAACTGCTATTCAAGTACAGGCTGGCACGTTAAGCTCATTTTGGGTTAAAACTTAGCCTGACAACTAAACTTGTGACATATTTCAGGTCAAAAGTTCGAAGCGCTTGCAGTTTCACTGCACAAGTCATGACACATCAGCTGCAACAAAGCCAAGTAGCGCTTCATTCCTACGAAGCAATGGCCAAACTTGTGCCAAATGACTTGCTGATCGTCGACGAAGCAGGCACTTCACTGAAGGCACACCGATTCGTGTTGGCCAGTGCCAGTGACTACTTTATGCACCTCTTCACCAACGATAACCAAGTACGCAAACTGCATTGGCCTTATCCTTTGGCAATCGTAAAGAAAGCGGTGATCTTCATCTACGAGGGCAGTGTGAACATTGAAGCAGATCAACTACAGTCTCTACTTCAGCTGGCAGATCAGTACAATATGGTCAAGCTTATTCGGTTTTGTGCCAGTCTCATGTCTGCCTGGTTGAGTCCACAAAACTGCACGGACTTTTACTTGTTGGGACACGTGTACTGCTTGGAAAACCAGAAAACCATTGGGCAGTACGTTTGCAGCACCATGAAGCTAGATAGCAAAATGATCTCCAAAAAGAAGCTACTTGCTTTATGTCAACAAGCAAAGCAGAGCAACACTTCCAAAACACGCTAATTTTTCTAACGAAAAAACATTGACAATATTGAAATAAAATAAGATGAAGTAATGATAATGATCAGTCGAGAATGAGATGAATGAAAGCGCTGGTTTAAGAGATGGAAACCAGCTCCAGATCAAAGTGAAGCGTAGAATTGGCTGGAATGGGTCCCATGGAACGATTGCCATATCTGCAAATGAAATGAGTTAATAAGATCGCCAAGCAATAAGGTATTGTGTCCACTTACCCTAAGCTGGGCGGCACAACAATCTTTCGTTTGCCTCCGACCTTCATGCCCTCCAGTCCCTGTTCCCAGCCTTTGATCACCTCGCCGGCGCCTAGGCGGAAGGAGAACGGCTTTCCAGTGGAGCGATCAAACTCTTTGTTGTTCGGCAGTCGTCCAATGTAGCGAACGTGTACCTGCACAAAGAAAAGGAACGTTAGATTAGAATGAAAACAAGTAGTGAAAGCCGGAAGTTTACTCACAAATTTGCCCTTTTTCGCCTCTGGGCCGCTTCCAACGTGGACGTCGTTCACCTGCAAACCTCCTGGAAGCTTCTTGGCTCNAGTTAGATTAGAATGAAACAAGTAGTGAAAGCCGGAAGTTTACTCACAAATTTGCCCTTCTTCGCTTCTGGGCCGCTTCCAACGTGGACGTCGTTCACCTGCAGACCTCCTGGAAGCTTCTTGGCTCCCTATATTGGGAAAAGAAAAGAAAACAGAAACAAGTATAAGTGGTAGTTTTTATTGTCAAATAAAATGGAATCAGTAAAAATTTAGTTTTAAAAATGCTCAGTGGTGATGGTAATACTTCACAAGAGATACATGCAAAGTGAAGTCGAAAAATAGAGTTGTGTCACTCTTTAGGCAAAAGACTTGCGGCCCTTATTTTTGTTAAACTTGTTAAAGTTTTTGCTTGCCTTTGGATCAGGTGTGAAAGAGCCTCCCTTTTGCTTGTTGAACTGCTGGGCCTTGTTGTTTTGTCCGCCCTGCTTCTGCTGATTCTGTTGCTGAGGTCCCTTTTGGTTGTTGTTGTTGGGCTTGTTTTGTCCAAGGGGAGAGTTGTTTTGACCCTTGTTCTGGCCAAACTTGTTGTTTTGATTAGGCTGTCCGCCCTTTGGAGTCTGGTTGTTTGGCTTGCCGGGAGTGTTGTTCGGTTTGCCCGAAATGTTGTTGTTCGGCTTGCCACCAGGGGTGTTCTTCTGACCACCCTGTCCCTGCTGCTGTCCCTTTTGACCGGGAGTGCCCTTTTGCTGCTGAAGTTTGGGAGCCTGGCCATTAACCTTGGGAGCTGGCTTCACTTGTTTTGGCTCTGCAATAACAAAAGTCCATTAGCATCAAATAGTTAAAAGAAACGTAAAACATTCTTACCGTCTTCTTCTTCATCGTCCTCTTCGTCCTCCTCTTCATCATCCTCCTCATCGTCCAACTCTTCATCGTCTTCCTCGTCAACTGAATCAAACTCCTCATCGAGATTGCCAAGGGCATAATCGCTGTCTTCCTCATCATCATCATCGTCATCTCCAATTGATCCATTGATCTTGGCTTTCTTAGTAGCAGCAAAGCCAGCAGAAGGCTCGTCATTTTTCACACGCTTGGCGTTTTGGTTCAAGCTATCGCTGGATTCTTTCACCATGCGTTTAGCAGACTTGCTCTCTACTTCTTCATCCTCTGACTCCTCGTCAAAGAGCTCATCGTCATCCTCATCAAAGTCGTCATTGAACTCGAGGACATAGCCACTGAGATGCACGGGACCATCTCCATTCAGATAAAAAGTAACTTCCTCTCCTTCAGTGAAGATCAAATCCAAATCAACCTGATTTGTCTTGTCCGAATCAAGATTGCACAGCAGGTATTGGCTCTTGTTGTGCTCCAGCATTAGCTGGACGCGCTTTCCGGTCACCTTGCCATCAACGGGAACATCCAGGACAGCCTTTGAAATGTGGTAGCTCTTTTCAACGGTCTGTGTGTAGCGGCGTCCGCCAAGGATGGTGACTCCTGCATTCAGAAAGAAAATTAGTTAGTAACATAGTTGTGGCAGGCCTTCACTCGACATGCTTACCCCAGAACATGGTTAGTGGTTGAGATAAAAGCCGGTGACGATGGCAAAATACGAAAAATAGGGGACAAAAAACGGGACGAAAAACGGAAGATGATGTGAGGCAGTCAGGAGCTGAAGACCATGTGCTGAGGAACGGCGAGCACGCTTTTACAAAACGGCGTGGAGTGATTCCAACGTTGGCCACTGGACTCTGTGGCGCTCAGCAGATAATACAGTTGCCGCTCGAACTGTGCGTCATTCTATTTTGACACCTTCCTACTGTTGGGTACTGGCGGATTGTGCAAATAGAAGCGGGCACAAGGCGGGAAACCTACTGTAGAAACTGCACCTAGAAACTCCGCCTCGTGTCTCAGTGAAAACAAGTGGCTCACTGCCACGCGCAGTTTAAAATTTGAACTGTCACAGCCAGTCCCTTCCCAATGAACGCAGTCAACTCTGAATCCATCGTGCAACTCCATGGTCTACTGGTTTATTGAACTGTGTGTCAGTTTGTTCGCCCTATCAGTCAAGTGTGTTTAGTCAGTTGCCTTCATCTGGTAAGTCTCAGGAGCAGCAGCGACGCCGGCCACCAGCGGCAGACCGGACGCCTTGCCTCCGCTGGCCTGGTTGTAGTAGGAGTACGCCTTGATGAGCGCCTTGGAGATGGCGATGATGGAGAAGCCGAACCAGAGACTGAAGACGCTGGCGAAGTAACAGATGTACTCGATCAGGTGCAGTCGGGGGGAGTGGGAGTAGCGAGTGTTGCGTCCACTGGGCAGGTAAATGAAGATGCCATGCGTCTGGTCGTACTGCGGCAGGTGGGCGTCCCGCTCGAAGGCGCCAATGGACACCATGGAATAGTACTCGCTGCTGCAGTCCTCCCGTTTGCTGCACTTCAGTCTGCACTCGTCGGCCATCATCCGGTCCAGGGTCTTGTTCTCCTTCCACTGCAGCTCGGCGTAGTGCACGTCCAGCTGCCGCCGGTCAAACTGTCCACTGGCGGGAATGTCCGCATGCCAGCCGTTGAACTGGCGCACAAAGTAGTCCGCCTTGCAGTGGACAATGCAGTGGGCCAGCGTCTGGTAGCCCAGTGTGCTGTAGTCACGGCACATCGTCTTGTACGGCGGAAGGAGCAGCTCAGAGATGGTCTTGCTGTAGCTGAAGGTGTAGCTGGCGTACTTGGCATTATCCAGGTAGACGCCATTCGTCTGACCGCCTATGAAGCCAAGGAAGGGCGTGCTTTTGGGCTGCATAAAGACGACCAATCGGTCGACAAAGCGGTTGTTTAGTTTTATCTGAAAGAGCGGAAAGGCGTTGTCCCGAAGTGTGGTGTCATGGTCGACGAGGTATCGTTTCGGGTCTTGCTTCTCCAGATGTGAACTTAAGAAAAAGCACTTTTTCGAGTAGGTGATGTACTCGAGAATTGGTGCCACTTGTTCGCAGTTGATGTAATCGTCACTGGTGGACTCTTCAAATGCAACTGGCTTCATGATCAAGCAGCTGTTGAAAATCTCCCGATAGCCTATGGTGGCCTCGTACAGCTGCTCTCGAAGTGTCAACTTGCGCAGCTGCTCGCCGAGGATGTGGAACTTTGAGTTTGCAAACGCAGTAGAGTTGACCACTTCCGGAAATCGGCTAGCAATGAAGTCCTCTCGAACCGTCAGACTGCTGTTGAGGCACACTGTGACGCCGGGCAGCTGCACCATCGCCTCCCGTTCAAAGTTCACGTGGACATCAGTTTCGTAGCGGAAGTAGATGCCACTGATGTCGGCCAGGTGCCAGAGACAGCCAGTGAGCGAGATGACTGCCACCACGGTTCGAATGAACAACGCCTCCGCTTCGATGCACTTCATCTTGCTGCTGTTGGCTCTTGCCAGTGCAGCACTTGCCGCTCAACTGACGCTCCCCTTGGCTGGAGCTCAGCTTCATGGTGTTTCAGGCCAAGTGCTTGCTCGTGGATTGCCCGACTGAATAGCCGGTAATGAATCTTTGCATTGCTTTCACGAGGTAGACCACAGTGCTATTTTTTGTACGCACTCTGTGCCACCCACATCTCGAGAAGTGCAAACAAACTCAATTATTTGGTAGTGGATATAAACAAGTAACGGCAAATTTAATCAATTATTTATTGGCAGCCCAAGTGTCATTTGGTGATTAAACTCAATTCACTGTCTCTGTTTACCCATCAGTTTTTGAGTGGAGAGAGTAAACGAAGAGGTGGCAAAATTATCTATGACGGTCATTGTTTGACGCTGCTGTCTGTTTACCACATTCTAACTGTTGTGAAAAAAGTAATGCGTTTACTCAAGCAGTTTTATTCGCCAAAAAAAGTGATTATCAAAAGTCTTTGGCGGCATCTGGTAGAATATTCGACGCAATGGACGATTTGTACAAAAGCAGACGAAAAGGTGGAAACAGCGGGTGAACGAAACCAGACGAGATTTTTCCGCCAAGACAAAACACCAAGAGCCGCCTTTCACTGTGCTCCTCGCTTTAGATTGAGTGTAGAGCAGTGTAGGGCAAATCTTGTGGTTGGCTCTTGGCTGGAAAGTGAGCTTCCTTCAGATGGTATAAACAAATCAAACATCGAAGCGCATTCACCGTTCCTGACACTTACTCACATCGCGCTTATCTCTGCATATCCTCATCCAGCATCTGCTGCTCGTTAAGTTGACCTTGCCGGTAATAATGAGTGAAGGTTTGTTGCAGATCATTTGGTTGTACGACTTGACACTAACCTTTTTCATGATACACACAAGAAGATAGCCTTCAAATAGACTCCAAAAGAAGCCGTTTTCCATACAGCATAGTGTGGACACCGCTGCCAGTTATCACATGGATCATTCCCTTCATAGGTCACATGGGCATTGCAACATCGGGGGGCATCATTCGGGACTTTGCCGGACCATACTTTGTTTCCGAGGACAATATGGCCTTCGGAGAGCCAACTAAATACTGGCAACTAGACGTTGCTCTGGCCGCTAACGGAAAAAGAGGCTGGGATGAAGCAGTCTCCAGTGCGTCATCAACATACTGTCACAGAATGGTAAGTGGAATTGCTCCGAATGACCGTTCAGTTTAAATGACCAGGATTGTTGTTTCTCAGCACAATATATTTTGCGACAATTGCCACTCACATGTGTCTTTAGCGCTGAACTTGATGAATTACAATGATCAATCTAATTACAACATGTTCAAGACATTTTGTCTATTCACGTTCAACTGTAAATATGTGAGGTGAGTGACGACTGTTTACTGACGATTAGTTCTGGCGACAAACTAAAGGAGAGCTTTATTCCTTAGCTTTTATGGTTTCCTCAAAACGTGGCTTCCATTTCTCATTGTGATCGCCATCATAACGGCAATCGTCTACTTTTCTCGTGGTATATAAGAAACAAATTTTGAGAAAAAATAAATGCCATTGAATCACCCTTTTCCAGCCGTTTCTCTGTATCGATTGACAATGATTTCTTGTTGTTCTCATTTTTAAAAACTTGATCGTTTCTATAAAAGCATGTGCAAGGGAGAATAAGAAAGCACTTGACACAAGTGAAAGAATGCAACTTTGGCGTCTTTATTAATTGCCAACGTCTGCAGAGTGGCGAACAGTGCAACAGCCACAACAGCCGACTGTTCAACTTTGCTGTTCATTGTGCTGGCAACACATCGAAACTCTGAATGACTGCTTACTTTGTGCTCAAGTTTTGGGTAAGGCGCCACTTTTGCCGAGCTGCAAACTCTCCCTCTCTCTCTCTCTCGACCTCTCTACTGAATCGTTTTTACACTCGGCTGGCGTCAAGTCAATCTGTTGGCGCCGCCGATCGAAGTGCTGCCTCCCTCGCTCCACTGCTCATTCGCCTTTTGAGGAGACAGAGCACAGAAGAGTAAGAAGAAGAAGAAGAAGAAGAAGAAGAAAAAGGAGCGTCATTTGAGACGGCGATCAATGGCGGCCCATCAATGCGACCAGAATTCGACTGATGGCGACTGCACTTGGGCAACTTGAAACGCAAAACAGCATCATCATCATCTGCAATCGATTCGAATTCTTTATAATACTCCACGTTGTTGCGCAATGCTGTTGTCCCCAGCTCAACTCTTCATCTGACTTTGAGCAGTAATGAATTGGGTGCCAGACCTTCCACGTTCGTTTGTCAGTCAGTCAGTCAGCTAGCCAGCCAGCCACGTCTGCTGGTAATTAATGGACAGTTGTTTCCTCTTGCCAACTGTCAGTGTGGCTGTTTAGTGAATATTGCGCCGATTGATCGAGTCAGAGCACATCTTTGGCACCGGCAATGTCAGAGTGCACAGTGATAAGTGTGCGTGTATGTGTTTGGGTAAATTGGGCCAGCAGACTATATGGTGTGAGGGCATCCTGTGCCCGACGACAGCTTGTCGCAGCAGCCCACGGCATTGCAGCACACTCACTATTGATCGTCTGAAGTCGACGGCTGCAGGATGTGCCATGTTTACTCACACTGAATGGGAGGGAGAGGGAATGGGGACGGCGGGGCAAATGTCATCAACTAATCCGCCCGATGACTGTCTGCTGCTGTCAATTGAAAAATTATCAATACAACGCTGAATTAAACACATGTCTTTAATTGGATTGCTGCTATTAAAAGGCAATCGCTCTCCGTCTGCGCTGGTCGGGGGAAGAAGGTGTAGTGATGGAGCGAGCACACTTCGCCGACGCAAACAATCGTTCAGTCGGCGCCGGCTTTGTGTGTGGAAGTGTGTGAGTGCCCCAGCAGAGTGCAAATAAATCAATCAATGGCCAATCGACGCCAACAAAGTCTGCCCTTTGTGAATGGGGGAATGACCATTAGAGAGAGAGAAGGCCACTTTGCGAGTCCAAGTTTGCTAACCATTTCTTGTTTATTGTACAAAACAATTGAAATAGATAATAATAATATATTGCGAGAAAAAGAGAGAGAAAGAATCAGTTTCAAGTAAGAACTTGGAAGTAGAAAATAGATATAAGGACAAGAGAAGGAGAAGAGAGATGGGCGACTATCGTTTGGTTGCTTGTTGGCCGAAGTAAGCTTGTCAACAGTGAATGCTCAGTTGGACAGAAAAGATGTCGATAAAAAATACCTCTAAAATTGTCGTTGTATTTGGTTGGGGGCAGATGGTGATAGTGTGAGGGCGTGTGTGGGCTTGAGATGGCATTTTAGTGGCTGCAAAAAGATACAAAGAGTGAGAGAGAGAGAATGATTCAGAGGATTCGCTATAGAAGCGACAAAAAGGTCCAAAAGAGATTGGCTTTGATTGGGAAGCTTCGACTTGGTTGTGTGTGTATGTGTGTTGAGAAAGAGTATAAAGAGATCGTTGAGCTAGGCGAATGAGTGAAGCCGAAAGAGCAGAAGAAGGGGAAAGACATATTCGCCGTGAGAGAGAGAATGTAAAAGGAGACAAAAAAAGATGACCAACAGGGGCCAGGCAACTGTCACAGGACGAGTGGACTGTAGAGAAGGAGAACAGTCAGAGAGTGGCTAGAAGAGTCAACAGTGAAGAAGAAGAAGAGACTGGAAACAAAGACTGTACAGGAGGGGAGCGTATACAATTTGAATATGTATAGTCAGACAGTGTCACTTTGGGTGGGGGAGGACAGGGGGACTTTGTACAATCATACAGAGGGAATGTGTGTGCGTGTGCTTCAGTGTGTAGTGTACAGTTGAATCGAGCTTGTCCTCGGTAAGAGTGGCAACCTCGATGTGAGCTCGTCGGCATCTGCCAGCTGCTGCTGCTGCTTTTGCTGATCTTCTCTTGGCCGCACTCTGCTGTTATCGGCACTGGCCAGTTCTCAGGCAGTGATGTGTGTGAGTGAGTGAGTGAGTATGGGCACTGGTCTGGCCTGCACTGAGGGCGCTAGGCTTTGTGCTGGCGGTATTATATAATCCCATGCGGTGACAGTGCAGATCACACCGGTGGGTCTGGCTCGTAGTCATGACGGTTGATCTTGATCACTTGGTCCTGGTCGATGGGCTGAAAGATGTGTGGTGCGTCGAGCAGCAGGGCAAAGGTGCCAAAGGTGGTGATGCCGCAGAATAGGCACAGCTGCAGTCGGTCGATGACCATTGCCACGTACTTCCAGTCCTCGCGAATCTGTCGCCGGCAGATGGGAAGAGGGAGAAGGAAGAGAAGGAAAAAGTGAAGGAGGATTAGTCGAGTGAGCTGCGTTTTACTTGGGCTGACCTGTCCACTTTTCAGTTGACAGGAGCACACTGACAGCAGTCTGAGCCTGAGCGTGTGTTGGTGCCTGCACACACTACTTTGACCAGCCGCCACTTTTCAGGTACTACCAGATTAGCATAGAACACTTCCAGTGCCCAGTGCTCCCCTTCCTTTCCGGCCGAGCTTTAGCGAATGCCTAGAATGGGCCGATGCAGTGCAGCCACTCTCTCAATTAACATACACTGCAGCCGGGCAGAAGCATCAGCAGAGGGGCACTCCGAGAAAGGGACCGATTTGTTTGCTCAATCTTAGTGAAACGCATACATACACAGAGGAGACAGGCATAGAGCTGACAGACCCAGTGCAACACAGAGACACACACACATTCATATAAAAAATTCATACAACTTTAATTTAATTTGCTGCCAGGCAGTACACGATGCTGCAGTCATCGGTAGTGCACATCTATTGCATTATATATGAATGCTTTTGTCTAATGTCAGAAAGAGAAAGAAAGAGACAGCGTCGTTTTCAGGCCGGCGAATCGACTTGGCACAAACTGCCGCCAAAGGCGCACTTTTCGGCACGCGTGATCGTTTCTATTGAAAGCGGAAGAGCAAACTGCCGCCGTTAATTGCCCAACCTATGGCAACAATTGGCAAGCGAGTGCAAGCGAGTGCTAGTGAACAGGTGAGATCTGATGCCAGATCTTTTGCTTGACATTTGTTCCCATCTAAGAAAGCAATGCTGGGAAGCAACTCTACAACATCATTGATGTGTTGTTTGCCCCTCTGCAAAATGTCACTAAAATGTCCTGCGAGTAAAGTGAGTGCATGAACTACTTCTCAGGGGCTAGCTGGCTGGGTTTGGCAGACTCATTTGCAGTAAGTAGCAATATTTGCTCGAGCAAGCAATGACTTTACTGACCACTGAAGCCGATGATTGCCTGCACTAAGCCGAGCACAGCTGTAGATGGAGTTGAAATCGAAATCACATCCAGACGCTAAACATCTTTCTACTTTTTCTTCCTTTCGCTTTCTCACTCCCTCCAACGCCTCACTGACTCGCGAGCACACATGCAGCCAAGAAGATAAGCTGCAAGCTCGATATTAAATTCGACAGTGATGGCAATTAAATGGCGCTGCAGCAGTGGGACTGCTTGCCAAGTCGATATCATCTGCAGTCACTGCCTTTGTGGCTTCTAGTGCCAAAGTGAAGCGAAAATTAATTACCATTACTATCGCAGTGACGACAGTGTTGGCGATTTAGCCCTTTTATAAATGCTCTCCTTCCACTGCCATATTGTACAACACTGCTTCAGTGCGGCACTAATTTAAATGCGCCATATTTGACTCTCGCAGTTTGTCGTAGACAGTGGAAACACTTCTTTTTTCCTTTTGCTAGGCAACATCCAGTGCAGATGCATGTGCAGCTTTTGTCCTGCCTCAGACATTCTTTCTTTTAGCTTTGCAGATGAATGAAACTGACAATCTAATTACTAGTGCTCACGTAGAGAGAATATATCTCTTCCCCGAATGCATTCATATCTGTAAATTGCATAAATACACTTGACTGTAAGCCAGTTTGTGCAAGTCTGTCCACTCTTGACGACAGTGCAGCACCACTGAGCTGCTTCTGAAGAAGTCTAGAGAAGTGCAATCATTAGCTGCCTGCAGACTCACACACACACACTTGTCTTTAGTAATGGGCAAAAAGGCGCTCAATTTACACAAATGTCGACGGCGAATTAGCTGCAAAGGCCTTCCATTTGGGGAGACAGGCACGAGCACTCTATTGGCTAATGCTGTCCCCCAGTGACAGAGTCCTATACTCAAGTGCTCTGTACTACATCACTTTTCTTCCTTCATCCACACTCAGTCGCTCACTTTCACTGTAAGTGCTTCATTCGCTCGTTGATTGGCTTCTATTTATCTATTTCATTGCATTTGTCGACGAAGAGCACAGTTGCAAATTAACTGCTACTGCAGCTGATAATGACTGAAGAAAAGAGAAAACAATCGAAATCGACACTTGAGCAGCCTATACTGCCGTTGAAGCAGGCTGTAGTAGTGGTGCTAAGAAGAAGATGAAGCCAATTAAAATGAGATTTAATTCAATTGAATCTCTCATCCGTGTTCATTTGTACACGTCTCAAACAATGACTTTGTCCATCATTTCAGAGTGCATCTGCAGTAAGTTTGCAGCGGCCAAGTTTGCATGAATGCCCGTCGAGTGAGAGAGAAAACGATCCTTCAGAGCGATCTCAATTCTCTCTGGAATACTTCACCGGTGATTAATGGGCAAACAAGACGGGCTAGACAAAAAACTGGTGTAGTCTAGTTGGCAACTGGTAGCAATGGTGGTGGTGGTGATGGGGGCAGTTTTCATTGTTAACAAGGCCAGCAGACAACTCACCTGAATATAACGGTCTTCGATGCGAAGGTGCTCGGCGATAAACTCGATCGCCTCTGCGGCTCGATATGCGTCAGGTGACATAAAGTAAAGGTCGAGACTGTCGTTGTCGCGCAAAGCCATCTCACGGTCCACGCTAGCCTGTCCGCCCAGCGTACAGTTTGGGTGGTGAGCAGTGGGAGAGGCTTCAGTGCTGGCAACCATTCCTGGTGGGGGTGGGAGAGGAGTCAGTGAGAGAGAAAGAGAGATAGCACAGCAGGGAGAGGAGCCGACACTTACCATGAGGAGGCACACAGTGCGAGGGCGCCGTCATCTCCATCACCGGGCCACCGGCGTACGTCGGCGTGTGGTGATGGTGGTGATAGTCGTAGTGCAGTGAGGGCATCTCCATCATCCACTTCAGCCTCGTCTTCTTCGGCCGCTTCATAAAGAGCAAGATAGGCAGGTATTTGAGGAAGATGACCCGCACCCAGTTGGGCATCTTGTGAGTGCGTGGCCCGCGAAAGTTCCAGTTGATCACGATAACGGTGCACAGAATGGAAATGCAGTTCATAAGAAAGGTGAAGAGAAGGTACTTGGCAATCAGTGGAAGCACTAACGAAGTGGGAGGTAAGATCTTTGAGACGAGCAGCAGAAAGACGACCAGCGACAGGAGAATCGAAATGCCAAGGGTCACCTTCTCGCCTGGTAGGAGTAGACAGGGCAAACACAGTCGTTAATTTGAATCGAAGTCGAAGTCAACAAAGACAACAAACAAACAAAGAGAAGAAAGAGAAGAGAAGAAGCAGTGGCAATTAGTGCACCCGTCCCGAAGGCCGCTGCGTCCGGCGGCTGACAGGCCTCATGCCATTGGCTCTATGCTCAGCCTAGGCAGCAGTATGCACCATCGACAGTACGGCTGCCTACTGCAACACAGCAATTAAGCGCACGAATTGCTCAATTCGCGGTCGGCAGGGGCAAACGAAGGAGAGGGAAGGGAAGAAAAGGAAAGAGAAGAGGAAAGGCATGCCAGTGGTGGAGGAAGCGAAGCAGAGCAAAGCCCAGAAGACCGCCGCCGCCGCCATCGCCGGCCACTGGCGTCATTTGTCTTTGCATGACTCCTCTACCCTACTGTCTTCTCGTCTTCTCGGGCTCTCTATATTCTTTCCCTTTTGCCCCTCTTTGCTGTTGCTGCTGTTGTGGATCATAATTAGAAAGACAAATACTGAGACTGGCTAATCTAATTTTCGCTTCGCTAAGGCCCTTGCTGGTGCACTCTGTTCAAATACAAAACACACACACAGACTGACATCTAGCAAAATGACTGTTCGCAACTGCTGCTCGAATAAGATGAGAAAAGAAGGAAAGAGAAAGAAGAGGCAGAAAGATGAGACAAGCAATTCGAGGCAATTGGATTTATCGATTCTCCGCCAGCCAATGATTGCTTGCTTGGCAGTACAACTATGGGCAATAGCACCAGCAGTAGTTCAGTGGTTAATCCAGGGCGCCAACGTGCACAAAACAGCACTGCACTGCAAAAAAGGCCAACTGGGCAGCAGCAGGCTGGTCATTTTGTAAAGTATTTCACAGAGCACACAGCAAATGACAATCTCAATGGCTATCTGCCCTTGATGGTGGGCAAAAACAAACAGAAAATGTGAATCGATTAATCATCAGCTGAGGCTCAGACAGAGGAGAAGTGACAGAAAAGACGAGCAGAGGCGCTGGTGCTGATAAGCAAACCCAGCAAGGGTTAGACGCTTTTTGTTGCAACTCTTCCCTCTTTCTTCTCCTTTTTTCTTGCACCATAATTAATGAATCTCAGTCCGGTGGAGGTATCGTGCTCGGAGACAATCTAAATTTAGTCAGTTAGCCAGTTAGTGTTAGTGGCAGTACCAGAAGCAACCTCTTTTGAGCTCCTTAAGGTTCTTCTCAGGACCGGCAACCAAAAAAAGCAAATTTGCGGCCGGCAAATTGGTAATCAGAGCACACAGCACTGATGGTGCAAATTAGGCAGCAGCAGCAGCTGTAGCAGCCAGCAGTGCACTGGGCCAGCGAAGATTAATATAAATTAGTGCCAGACACTGGACAGAAAACAGAGGAGCTGAAGATGAGCAAAATGTAGACAGACAGACGACAGGCACACAGTTGCTAGTTGGTGTCGCAAGAAAAAGGCAAAAAGCAAAAATGCGGCTCCACATTACTTCAGCAACCATTATTATTCTTCGCTGCTGCAGTGTATGGAACAATATAAATTGCATTACGGCTATTGCTATCACTAGCTGCGACGGAGCACTGTATCATCGTATTATTACCCGCCGATTAATATTTTTTGCCTGCTGACAAATAGGCTGCTGCTGCTGTTGGTGGTGGTAGTGCTGTCTGAAGAGAAGGCAGCGCCAACGTCAAGTGGGCGCCAGTTTAAGCAGGCAAATTAGCCTCCATCTTGGCCGTTGCCGTCATTCCAGCACATACACTTTGACAACAACAACAACAACAACAAAGTACGGCGAGTCAATGAGTGGCCGCTCTCTGCTATTGATGCAGTCAAAGACGGAGAAGAAGCATTGTCTGCTTGCTTTGTGTGATCGCTTGCTGACGGCAACGAGGCAGCAGGAGCAGCACTCGAGCGAAAGCAAATCGAGAAGAGATCGTGCTTTATTTGAAGCACTTCTACACAGCAGTAAATGGGCTCCTCACTTTCAACTGGCCGCCCTACAATGAGCGATCACCAGCAGAATCATCGCCTCTGCCAACAAACTGCAAACTGATGCCGCAAAATGGCAGTTCTATAGACTCTCCTTGATGCTCATGATGGCAAAAATGATGACGAGACTGTCTGAAAGAAGCACTGTCAGACGACTGTCACTTCACACGTGCACAATTTCACAGCTTTCTGTTTAAAGAGAGAAAGATAAACTAGTGCTAAAGAAGAACTGAGAAGAACAGTGCAAAGAACAAAACGAGTTTGGAGCAATCGGGCAAAGGGTCGATCACATCGAAAGAATAAACGCACGATTGCAGCCTGCACTTTTTCTTTTCCTTACTAAGCAGAGTGTTTGAAGTATTTTAATTAAAGAAATGAAAACGAACAAGTGCAAAGCCTGCTGCCAATTGCCGAACACAAGCGGCGGCGAGTTTGGCAGATTTTGGTCTGCCACGAAAGAGGCAAAGAATAATCTCGCTGCCCTACTCTGAAACAATGTATAATCACGACCGACTGCGTGGGCAAATGAAAGAAAGACTATGCTGCTAACAAATGGCGCCGGCAGTTGCACCGCCAAGTGGGCATCATAAGCTCACTCACACAACTGCTGACGGCTGTTCGCTTATTGCATCGAGATTCGGGCAACATCAAATTGGGCAATGCAATTTCTTTCTTCGTAGAGAGTATAATTGAAATTTATGCTTCGTCTTTCTTTCTCTTATATGTTTGGCCTCTCCAGCAGAATAACAACCAGAAATGTTATTCAATTTGTACACATAGAACTCCGATGCTGTGGCCAAAGGGGCCAAATGGTCGGTCGGTCATTAGGATGACAGTGCAAAAATAAGAGCTGCAAAATCACCGGCGGACTTCAAATCAGATGTGCTCTCTTCTAATCACCAGAAGGTAGGCATGGTAAGTATAAAGCCCGGCAATCACTTACCCGCCTCTGATGGCAAGTAGAAGACTAAAATGCAAAGAAAAGAAATGAGCACAGTTGGTAGAATGAGATTCACAGTGTAGAAGAGCGTCTTCCGGCGAATGGTGATGAAGAAGCTGATGTCCGTCTCGGTGGGCTTGCCGAACTTGGTGTTGTTGAGGACGTTCACCACCGCCGGCACGTCGACAATGTCCCAGGTGCCCGAGCGCACGTAGTCAGTCATGTCGGCATGGAACTTGTTGTACAGCATGCCTAAGCTCACTTGGTCACCGTTGTACGTCCACGAGCCGAACTTCATGACGCACTTCTGCTGATCAAAGGGAAAGTATGTGACGTCAATTTGACAGGAGCTCTGGAAGATCGCCGGTGGCAGCCAGGTGATGGTTCCAGCCGGGTAGAGAAGGGTGTTCGACTTAAAACGCACTTCGTAGTTGCCATCGGCACTGAATTGTTTTCATTATAAAGTAAAAAGAGTCATCAGATGTTAGATGCAGCAGAAAAGAGATGGAGCTCACTTATTAAACAGAACCAGATCAGGCTTCCAGACTTTGTCCGGTGGTACCCTGAGCACGGAAATGCCTCCATAGTCCGCTGGGTCCCATTTGATTTGGTAATCAGGCCAGTTCTATTGGGGTTTGTGCAAAGAGATAGAATAAAGGTTTTCATTTGTTAGCAAAAGTAGAGAAAATATAAGAAGAAAAAAGCCATACCAGTTCAATCCACACGTTAGTAGTCATAATTTGGCTTTTTTCGTTCTGCAATAAAGAGAAAAAGAAAAATACATCATCTTATTATTATTTACTCAATAGAAACTGCTGTTGTTGAGTTGTTTAAATTGGCACCGTGAAAGTGAAAGCTGCCGACAGGACAAACAAACGGACACTATACTAGCAAAGAGAAAGAGATGTTGCCAGACTGGGCGACACTTATTGCATCTATTTTACTGAGCAATTTGTCAGCTACAGCTGTGAAGTATTTCAAATGGCCGCCGGCAACGTTTTGCAAAAGAGTTTTGCTGTTTCCCTGTTTTCTACTTAATCAACTGAACCGTTTTCCAGCTGGTTAGCGATGGCTACAAAGCAATTGTAGTGAAGCAGGACAAAGGTGTGTGTGTGTAAGAGAGAGAAAGTGTAACAAAGTCAAAATTGCACTCTATTCATTGGTGACCAGATTAGAGGTGGTAATCAATACTGGAAAGGATACTCACAATGTTGATCAGCTGAATGAAAGATAGTTTCACTTGGACAGGAACAGTGTCGTTGATGCGCTTCACAGGGCGAATTAATTTGTTATAATCACGAAACAAGTCTCGGACAAGGCGTTCTTCGTCTTCAGAGCAATTAACTGGGCGGGAAAGAATAAAGAAAAAAGAAAAGTGAATTAGTAAGGCAATTAGGTGGCAAAACTGCTGTAAGTGCGGATATGGCAAGTGCTTGCTATTATTCCACCCCTCTTATTCCCCTCCTCCTCCCCTTTCCCTTCTCCCCCGCCCTTTTCGCACCCGAGCACTGTTTTCAGCTTTGAGCGATGCCTGTCGCTTTTAATTATGACTTTCCCCACTCCTCACTACTACTTAATTAGAATGCAAATGAGCAGCAGTAGACCGAGTATCTAAATGATCAGCCAACTTGGCTTACTAAATTAACAACTCATTTCCACCAAACAGATGGGAACTCATCTTCTTGTCATTTTGTCGCAAAGCTTTTTTTCAACCTCAGCTGAAAGCATTGTCAGCGGTGAACAAAATGAGATATTTCTGCTCGCTCAGTTTTCGTTGTTCAGTTCACTTTAATCGAGAGTTCCAATTGAAGAGTGCTTTTAAGAGTGTCCTAATTCAGTCAGCTTTAATGGTCTCAGTCTAGGCGAGCTGCCAAATGATCAATTATTCAATGGGAAATGCTAATTAAATTTTAAAACTACAGCCACGACAATGACAAAAAGTTGCTCACACCGTAGCCAGCTTACAACTTTGCTGGGCATCAGTTTGCATTAATAATTAAAAAGCATTTTTAAAAATAGTAAATTAATGCTACTTCAGTCTAGAGAAACAGAAAATATTTTCTTTGCAACAGCATCAGTGTTGAGATAATAGAATTAAAAAGTGTCATCGTAGCGCCATCATTAAGCGGTAAAATGCAGTCATTGCCACAAGCAAGCTAAGCTGAAGAAGCTAAGCAAAAATGGGAAAAATGAGAAAGCAAATGTTGGCAAACAGCACGTTCTATCAGAGGAGACTGTGTCTCTGGTCTCTCTTTGTGTGTTCCATTAATATTCCACTTCTGTCAATAGCAGTTCACAAGCTGTGCATTGGAAGAACGGTTCTTAAAGAGTTGAGTCTCAGATTTGTGTCCCTGTTTGGCATTTGCCAAATGCAGACAAAAGAATTGTCGCCCGCACAAACTAAAAAAGAGTGAAAACGGATCAGGGTGAAGCATTATGGCATTGGCATATGTCGGCACTGAATTTGCCTTTGATAACGGCATCCCCTCTCATTAGGCATAAGAATCACGTTTTTCAGTGCACATAGCAATGGTCATTTTAAAGCATTCTCGCGCCTCAGCAAAAGACGGCCAAGATTGTAACAAGCAGCAGCAAGACTGCTGTGACACCAAATGAAAGCCGAGCAATTGTGTGCGTCTGTGTGCCATTGAGATGATTAATCGCCAAATTTGGCATGACTTCCATTGAAGAAATTGCGGCCCCTTTTCTTTACCATAATGTGGGTGATCGATTTTGCAGCACAGGCACAGCGTACTGGCGGAAAGCAGGCCGCAGACTCTATTGACTTGATAATCAGCAATAATTGCCATTAAAGGGATGCCATTTTCATGTGAGGCTGAACCTCAAAAAAACGGGGTTTGCTGGACCCGAGCAGTCTGTTTTGTCATCATTGTCTTCTTTTCTTCATTCCCCCTTCCCGTCTGCTTCATCGTCTCTCTGCATTGTAATGCGACGCCAATTGCCTGTCGCCGGGCGCAGGACAGTAAATCAAAAGCAGTTTCGATTTCTTCCAGGCAATTTGCCTGCCGCTTACTTATCTGCTCATTTCGTCGCAACAGCCTACCAACCAGAGCTGATGTTGTGACGTCTGCAGCACATCAACCGCTAGGCAGGCTAATTGTGCTTCTCTGCTTTAGTCACTTCAGTGGCAAGTCAAAGTTTGCATCTGCCAGAGATTAGCGCTCTTCACTCAGTCTCTGTCTTTCTGGCTGTCTGTCTGCTTGTCAGCAAAGACTGGCCAAGTGTCTGACTGCTGCTTGCATAGTTGAGGGGTTGTTTTGTTGACTGCTGAGTCCAATCAACGACAAAACGAACAAATGCAGACACAGAAGTAGCCGGACAAGTGGTCTGCTGTCTTCGATTCATTAGTGAGTGAGTGAGTGAATGAGAATACGCTGCAGTAGTGGACACTGGTACACACCGAAACACATACACACACACACACACACACACACACACAATTGCACTACTAAATTATTAAATTGGCCACTTCCGAGTGTAGCACTTTGTGGGGAGCACTAATTTCCTCGCTAATGGTGTACCACTCACTCAGCAGTCAGTCTGACAAGAGAAAGATCCTGGCTGTGGTCTAGAAAAAAGAAAATAAGTGAGATGTTGAATGGCAGTCATCAGTTGCTATTAGCAGAAGTAGCTGATCGGAGGAAATCACACCGCGGAGAGCAAGCAGTGTAAATATGTGTTGCAATTCTCCTGTCGACTTGAGAATGTGTATGACGATCAAATTAAAATGCAAATTTACCATTTTTGTGTTGTGAAAGGAAGGAAAAGTGCTTCAAAACAAAGCCAAAACGTAGAGTAGACAGAGTCACCAGGGACAACGGCAACACTGGAAAAGTGTATACGCGAGCCTGTGCAGCCTTTGTGTGGGGCTTTGCTGCCTTACATTTTGTCTGCATCAGCAGCATCTTCAACATGCTACTGGGCTCACTCTTTGTCCTTCTTCCTGTGTTTGCGCTGTTTCATGTATCGATAGCTGTCGGTTTCGTCAATCTTTTCCGTCTACAAGCAGTCGTCGAGCAGCTTGTGAGTATTTTTGTGTACGTGTGTGTGTTTGAGAGAGAGAAAGTGAGTGCACATTGTCATCGTAAATAGCACCAAAAAGCATATAAAGAATTAATAAAGAAAAATGCTCCCTCTTCTTTATTCTCTGGTTACGAATGCGCAAAACGGCAGCTTTTTGTCGGAAGGCCGATCGCACGCTGGTTGGCAAGCTTTTGTTAGCGGCCGCTTCATGTCCTGAACATGGCCATGACTGTGGCCGTCTGCATCACAGTGTCGTCATCATTTGAATACACAGACACGCAGTCTGCCATTATCGTTGCTAGTTGGCAGGGCCGAATCAGTGCTTACAATAGCTCGTTCCCTCTCGACGACAATTTGCCCAATTTGAGCATTAAGAAGAAGGCAACAACGATTTGGCGGCTGAATAGCTGTTTCTGTGCACTAAGTGCCCCTAATGGTGCACTCGCCAGTGAGCTGATTTCTCTATCAGCCGCAACAGCAACTGTAGAGGCACAGAAGATGGCCATTTTTTCCCGCAGATGAGCATTATACGAGTCAGCCAATTTATAGCTGCCCCTTCTGTTTCAATTGCCATTTTATCAATTGGCTACTCTAAGTGGTCGCCAATTGATGCACTAGTGCTGGTGACTTTGCAGTTTTAAAAACTGTCTATTTTAATGCACATCTGGCAAAAATTTTAATTTTTTAGTTTTTAATAAGTCCGTACATTTTATTGTTTTTAATGAATGACGTTGTGTGCACACCACTTCAAAAAGCTTATTGACTAATATTTTTTTTTGCAAAAAATACATACTTACACAAACTCACATCTTTTTACTGATGATTTTTGCCAATTTCACTTGTGCGCAAACATGTCAAAGAAAAGAGAACAGCACCAGTGCCACTCTAAAAGGCCATTCATCTTTGGCGAGTCGAAAAATAGAGAACCAACTTTTTTCTAGTAAAGACTCCTTTCTCTCCTTCTCTCTTTCTGGGCTAATCGAATTATAAATCTCAGCAAATGGCGCTCGCTCGTGCAATCAATAGACCTTCCTGGCTTGCAAACAAGAAAGCACACACACAGACATTTCGCAGTTGTACTGGCAAATTGGAGAGTGCTGCAGCAGAAGCAGCAAATCAGCGGTGCTCTGGGTTCTCTTTGAAGAGTTGAACGTTCGTGCACCTCATTTGCTGTTTTAGAAGAGCCTGCCAGAAGCGGTGACCACTGTCCAGAGCGCTGTATGAGTTGTAGCACTGCAGTAGTGAAAGCGCTCTCTCACAAGTATATTATTACCTTCTAGCTAAGCAGCAGCAGCCGCAGCACTCGAAAGAATGATAAATGAGTGCAAACAGTGAGTGTGTGTGTGTGTGTGTGTGCATGTGTCTCAGTTAAAATAAATTGCACAGGAAAATGAATGGCCACCTTCTTTTGCTGAATCTGTCAGAGATCGCAAACATCCTCCATTGCGCATAGACTCTCAATTGATACGTCCTCTAAAACTAACACTAATTGCAGCTGACGATGAGTGCTTTTATTAATTTGTGTTCAGTGCGTTATGTTGCACACACAAATGTGCTATAGCTTAAATCCCAAAATATCTGCCGCCTTTTGTGGTCGTTTCAGTGTCGGACGTTGGCTCCAGACGCACTTTCATTTTCTTTTACACTCTTTCAGATACACACACACACAGACAGTTTGGCCATCTATTTTACTGGTTGTGACTTGACAGCAGTAGGATGCAGTGCAGCACATGGGGTAAGGCAAAACGCCTTCAAATCAAATCGACAGCATCGTACAGTATTGGCGGCAGAAAAGACAAATATTTGGGGCAAACACAGTCAGTCAGTGAACAGTTTGCGTCCAATAGATTGTGCTGCAACACAACAACGAATACACACACACACTCAGTGCACACTGTTCAGTCTGTACACACACACACACACACACAACGAACATAGCTCTGCAATTTGGGCGATTCTTGCCATTCCAAAATCAGTCAAAGCAGTTGTTGGTACAGCGCGTCTGCGTCCACTGCCTTTCCACTGTCTAATCTATTTGTTTCAATCTCTGCCTTTGCCTGTTAAGCTTGCCCGAGTTGGAATTTGAGCATTTAAAGTGAGCACCAAACACAAGCGGATGGATTGGCAAATTATAAATCTCCAACGAACAGTTTCAATGCGTGCAGCACATACAACTTTCCTCTCTTTCATTTGTCCTCTGCGGCAATTGAAAGGCAATAAATTAAATGGTGTCAAATATTTGCCAGATTGGATGAGCTCAGCTTTGAGGCAGCGAACAGAGTAGTGCAGAAGCCTAATTCAGCTGAATCAGTGATAAGCAAACAGTGAAAGCAAAAGGCGAGAATCGTCTGCTTAGCTGAAAGACACTTCTAAGCGGATGGATTTGTACTACTACTGAAAATGGCCAACAGAAATTAGCAATAGAAAGGACGCCAGTAAAAAGATGACAAAAAGAAGAAACACGGAAAGAGAAAATAAAGTTGAGCAGAAGAAACGATTTGGGCGACAATTGCCAGCGAATGAAGTGAGTGAAGCAGACACGCGTCAGAGCGTTTTGAGGCTGCCGTGCGTGTCGATAGCCAATTGAAGGTGGCCCAATGCTGGCGCCAACTTTGTTTTGGTCTTCTCTCTGCCCATCACTTGGCTGTCCTACGTGGCACATTAGCAACAAACATCGCTCCATGCTATTGAAAGTACACACGTTCGTCGACTTAGCTGAAGACGATGCCTCCCTTACTGCAGTCTGGTGGCTGTGTGTGTCTACGCCAGTCACTTTGCAGCCACTTTTTGCTTGCTCACTCACTTTTCGTTGACCACACGATCGTGATTTGCTCACCATTTGCTTGGGTGAGAAGGAGAGATAAAGTGAGGCAAAGTGTGCTCGTGCCAAATGGCGAACTGTCTAGGCTTAGGCTTCAAACGGTAGAAAAGAGCTGTTTCAATTCTCAGAAGGATGACTACTATCTGAACTACTGTACTAGCAGATCAGACAGAATCGAAGAACCAGTGAGTCCCAGTGAGCCAATTACAATTGCTAATCGACAGCAAACGAGACTGTGTGTAGAAGAAAAGTGCTTCCAGGCCCAAGTAGCTGCTCGTTTGCTTAAAAAGACTCTCCTGCAACAATTTTGACTGCAAAAAAGAATATAATATGTGCAGTAGTGAGTGCCTTCTGGCAATGTAAGAAAGAGAAAAGAGTAGTGCTATCTAGGCACATTACATGCATAAATAATTAATCGGCGCCATTGATCACCGACAATTAATAACAATTACAGTAGTTGTAGTTGTAGTAGTAGTAGTAGTAGCTGAAGTAGAACAATTCAGACAACTCAAATTGAAGTTAACTAAAAACGTTCGCATTCGCATTGAATATGAAAACGTTTGCCTTTGCCTTTCTTTTGCCTGAATAGAGAATAAATTTTTAATTAAACGGGATAATACAAAAGGCAGCAAGCGAGGAGAAAAAGAAATAGTGAGTGAGAGAGAAATGATTGATTTGATGAGGGCAAAGCATCGCTCTGGGTAGATGAGCGAACGCCATCCAATTAAAGCGAAGACGCCCGAGTCGTGCATTTATTCGGCAGACGACAATCGCCTTCTTAGCCAGTGTGCCAGTTTGCCACGTTGCAATGCATGGGTAATTAGCCTGCTGCAATTGCGTCAGTGTGCGGTTGAATATCAGAGAAGAAGAGGCAAAGAGGATGTCGCATCCTCCAAGATCGACACACTTTCAGAGCGAGTAATCAAAGTAAAGACGGGATGCAGACAAAGACGGATATATTTTATATATATTTGGCTGGATGACTCGATCGCAGCAATATCGGTCTCCTCAGTCTCGACAGTATAAATTATAAATTGATCCAATTCGACGGCGGCAATTGATGCTTCTCTCCTCTTTTTCTTCTTCTTTCTTGTACAGCCACCACTCTACTCCACTGCCACTGCTCCATCGCTTCCACTCATTCACTTTTTGAGGAATGGGGCGCCTGCCTTGGCCGCAGTCGATTGCCAGTGAATGGCAACGTCAACCAAAGGCGACCCGCTCGACCTCGTCAAGTTCATTTGGGCGAACAGCAGCAGCACCGTGCAGCCTTGATCAACCCCGTTCGACTGATCTCTCGTCGTCGTCTTTGGGCAATAATAAATATGCATAATTTAGCTGCTGATGCATCTGCCGTTGAAAAGTATGTGTACATCATGTGTGCATGTGTGTGTGTGTGTGTGTGTGTGCTGGCTGCCGTCGAGACAGTCGAGCGAACACCGCTTACGCTTTGTGAAAATAATACGTGTTTCGAAAATTGATTTCACTGCCGCTCAATCCAAAGTGAAGCGTAATAAATGGTATAGTGAACGAAGGAACAAGAAGAGACAAGAAAGAAAAAGAGAGAAAGAGGAAAAGTAGTGAAAAGTCGCTAGCCAGCCGTCGTTAGCGGCATTCAAACGCGTGCATTCCCGCCCGTACTCGCATCATTAGAGGAAAGTCGGCGACAGCAAATCAAAATGGACGATCTCTCGAGTTTTGGCGGCGACAATTGCTCCAGCTTCTGCCGTTTAATTTGCAGACGTTAAGAAAAAGAAAAAAATATATAAATCAATTTGTGTCAGCAAGGCGATTAGTGTGATCAATCGTAATTCGACTGTCGATAGTTGCTGCTGACGTTAGCCTACTTAAAAATGTTCCAAAAAGTACTCAAGATGAACGCAAAAAGCAGAGTGTCATTAAAGAGCGCAATTGAGGGTCGTCGCTGGCCGTCTGGCAGTGGCCATTTCTAGGCCGTAGCCATCCTCATCCATCGGCCTCATAATTAGGCACTGTCATTTCACTGTCATCCAATGGGCAATGCTCAAAAGAAGTGTTGATTAGTGTAGCAGGCAACAATAAATTGAAGTCAGCGTCACAAATCGAAACAGCGTCTCTAAGCCGGCAATTTGAAACTGAGACCTAATCAAATCTCTGATTGATCGTGCGAAGCGATAAGTCACAGAAGCATACACAAACACAGACACAGTAAATGAAAATGGAAGGAGGCTTTAAGGAGCTGCAGGCTGCTTTGTAGATGATATTTAAGTGAACAGACTCAATTGGAGCGACTGAAACTCTGAGCTGGCAGGCAGGCAGGCAACCGGCACGGCCATTTGATCACGTCAATCGGACGTAGCTCGTTGACTGAGCAAATCACACAAGTTGATTTGCCACCCTCTCTTTTTGCCGCCTTTCTCTTTCGTCTTGCACGAGTTCTCCTTCTGCAACAAACTCACTTTCACTTTCATTCTTTCCGTCTTACTCTTTCAATTTATTTGTTTATTATTTATAAGCATGAATAAATTTGCAAACTTTTTATTGGACAAGCGAGCAGTGGTGGCAAGCAGCACAAGTCGCCTTTAAGGATGAGGAAGGAAGAGAGGAAGGCAAAATGGAGCAAGCAAAAAACACCACAGTCAGAGAGACTTTCCGCCAAAAGGAATGGAGGAGGAATAAACAAACATTGGCAAAACGAAGGCAGAC